CTGATCAAGTCCCGAAGAAGAACGAATCCTCGAATTATAAATAACCGAGAGTAATTCTCTAAGAGTAAAGGGATCAGAAAAGGAATTGCATTTAATAGAGGAAGAAGGAAAATCATTGATACAAAAATATATTTTATGAAAAGAGGAAGCAGGACATATAGAATTAATAGTGGAAAGGATTTCATTTGAAAAGAATAGGGACGAGGAAGGAGGAGAGAAAGAGATACTCAGACGTTTGTTCTTAAATTGCTTGATAAACTTCCATATGCGGAAAATTGGAGTTTTAGGGGAAAGAGTTTCACAAAACTCTCTCTATCCTTTACATTTTTCAGATTTAAGAACACGTCGGGCCATTGCCTCCTACTTTTTAAATGCTAGAAAATTATCAAAGGACGGATTTTTTTATATGCAGAAAGACACGCGCCTCCGATCGACCTCCCGCTGACATATCTCACTCCACCACGGCGCAGGACAACTTAATCTTTTTGATGATTTAGAAGGAGAAGAAGAAGAAGAAAAAGAAGAGAAATGATTATTATTGCAACTATTATTCGCTACTTTTTTGGAACGTTTAAAAGGAATATGAGATTTAACATGTTGAACAAAATTTTCGTACATGCTCCCAGATAGACAAAGATTCTCTGAGACAAACAATACTGCCCACAAGATTAAAAATAAAAAGATCTCTATCACCCAAAGAGAGTTTAATTCTATGAGAGAAGAAAGATACTCTTTTTAAAGAGAGGTTAAAGTAGATTTCAATCGGATAATGATCACTAAAATAATTTATCTGAAAAGAGATTCCAATTACATACTCCTATAAGAGAAGGAGAAATAAATGATAGATCCAAAGCCGATCATGCTTGAGAGGGACGGACCATAAAAGTTGCAGAACCATCATTGAGAAGGGAGAAAGAATGCCCCAAAGAAAAAGACAAAACGCTCCTTCCTCCAGCATCCGTTCTATCACAACCCCACTCGCAATGTTGCACATTAAAATCACCAACAAGTAGACAATGAGAAAAAGACACAAAAGGAAAAAAGGAAATCATAATCCTGATCAGAAAGAGAACACTGCGGATGACGATAGACAGAAACAATAATCAAATCAAAAGGACTCACAATGAATAGTTATAAACATAAGTTCTATTTTATTATTTAAATTAAAAGGATGGAACAAAAGTATAAGGAATATTTTTTCGAACTGCAAGAAGCAAACCACCCGAATTTAATATTAAAGTATCAGATCGAAAAATATTAAAATCACGAAGTGAAACAACAGAGTCTGGAGTGAGCCAAGTCTCTGATAGCGCAAGAATATCATAATCAGTAAAAACAGAATTAACTAAATCAATTTTATTAGAAAGTGAATGACAGTTCCATTGTAAAATCTTTAAGGAATTGCATGCAAGAGATAAATTAGATGAAGCAGATATTAAACATGAGAGGAAAAAGGAGAGGAATTTAAGGAATCAACAGGAACAGCCTGAGAATTAAGAGAATGAGGAAACAAACTCAATAACTGAAAGGTCTCTTTATAAATCCCCAGGAGCTTCAAAAAAGGTGAAAGTTTATTCATTAAAGCGTCAAAGATAACTGTGATCTGATCAGAAAAGGAAGGAGAGGAGGACAAAGGATTAGCAGGACCAGGTAAAAAGGAGGGAGGAAAGGAAAAAAGAGAAAGATTTTTGTGCTGTAATGATACCCGAAGGAAAAGAAGGCAATCTTCCATTTGGTGCTAGCAATAAAGACTGAGCATCATTCTGAGAAAAGGACTTAGGCGCTCGGACTTTTTTATTCCGTAATAGATCCCCCCTCCCTGAAGAAGAGGATGGAGAAACAACAGGAAAGGACGAAGCAACCGACTGGGCAAATGTTTTATGAAAAGAAAAAGGAGTCGAAGATACAGGAGCGTCAAAACACTGAGGGAGTGGAGCCGAAGGAGATTCCAAAAGAGGAAACACACTGGAACCATTCGACGAGGAAACAACGCCGCCACGAGTCATTCTTCTAACTTCAGATAAAGAAATATTCTTTAAAGTAGCTAACTCTTTTTTGAGAGACATAAGTAGGACACTGCAAACTAGTGGCCCTATGCGCACCCTTACAATTAATACAAGAAGGAGGGTCCTTCTCTTTAGGACAAGAGGAGTCGCTCTCATGAACTCCGCCTTTATAAAGAATACAGCGAGGATGTCCCTTACACTGAGACTTCAAATGATCGAATCGGAAACAAGAAAAACAAAGAGCAGTTTTAGTAACAAAAGGATTAACAGCATATCTTATTCTATATAAAAATATAGACAATGGCAACTTTTGCCCCTTGAAGGTCAAAGAAATCGTCCTAGATGGTATCAAAGAAGACTCATTGTCAGTTCCCCGCGAAGAAGTCTTCCCAGGAGATGAATGCTCAGGACGTCTCAGCCTCCTATTAAAACGCTTCACAGAGATAATCGGAATAGCAGAATCGATGCTCTGCAAGATTTCCTCATCTGACATATCCAAAGGCACATTACGAATAATACCTCTCCTCGATATTCTAGAAGAAGAAGTAAAAACATAATTCTTCGATTTCAAAACAGAATTACTAAGTATACTGTTAGCAGTAGTTCTGGATTTGAATTGAATAACAATTCTAGAAAAACCAGATTTCTTGATCTCAATAATATCATTTCTGTATAACGGAGAAATAATACGACCAATCGCCAAAGGGTCAATAGATACCTGTGTTTGAGAAGACTGAATGAAAACATCAAAAGGTATCTACAAGCCTTATTATTATATTTATTTTGATTCAAAGAGTCAAAAGAAAGGTTATAGTTGTTTTCATACGAAGAATTCTTACCTCTCTCAAGGACGCTGACATCATCAGAATGAATTAATATGCTTACTTGCAGAAAGATCTAACTTTTCAGATTCTTCACTTTTTCGTTTTTTTGATTTAAATTTAGATTTAGATCTTCGGGATCTGATCTCAAGAGATCGCCGATCCGATTCTGCAACTGATGAAGAAGCTACAGAAGGAGCAGCCTGCTGGGCAAAATTATTATTATTAACATTAACAATATTATTATTAGATTTATCAACATTAATATTATCAAAATGATATTCCATTTCAAAATCATTGTCATGCACCGAAGGTGAAGAGACAACAGGAAAAGAAGAGGATATAAGATCAAGCGTATTCTCAGGAGACTTTGTCACAGCAGAGACAGGATTTATGTCAACTTTGTTGCAACAAAATGAAGGGAAGTCGATTCCCCTGGGTCATGAATAGACATGCTTGGAGAAATAGAACTGAATCATAAGGAAACAGGAAAGAGCAAATGGTGGCAAAAACGTGGCACCGAGAAAAGAAATAAAATTCAGCAAACATGCACTTCGTCAATATAAATATAGAAAGATTCGGTCCGAGTAAACAGACAGTAAAGCAATAAGATAGATCAGAAGGCAGTCAAAAAAACACGTCCATTCTCCTCAACATACTCGACCCGACAATCTCAAACAGTCAAATAAGAAGAAGAATCTAATCCTACGACAAAAAGAGGGATCCCTACTCTGCAGTCCATTTGGAAAGATTCGGGTTTCGAACAGTTCCGAATCGTGCGAATGAGGTCCTGAATTCTGCTCAAGATTCGAAAATCCAATGAGCCGGCACTACCATGTAAATTTGAAAAGTGGGGATACGGTTCTCCTTCCGCGGTCGTAGCATGAGAGGCTTTTTTGTCGCAGGATAAATCGGGGAGCACACACTTTTGCATAATCGCATAAGCATATGCATAAGAAATTCGATTGATTGATTTTTTTATGCATACGTTTATAGACCAATCAAGATTCTTATGCTTACGCTTATGCGCCTATGCAAAAGTGTGTGCTCCCCGCTTAAAAGGTTTTGTAGCATAAAAGTGTCGTAGGATAAGAGGTCCGACTGTATATATGTTTGCCAATGAAAAACAAGTTTATTTATTAGCAAAAAATTCTGGAATTCTAGAATTATCAAAGCCTTTTAAGATGTTTCGGTTGTTGTTAAAATTATCTTGATTGTTAAAGATTTCTCTTCTACAACAAACTGTCAAAATATTTAAATAAGTGGTAATTACGGCTCCTGGCTTTTCGCCGACCATGTTGGAATTGTGACGTCAGAGGGGAGAAAACATGCTAAAAATTTTCGAAGCCATAAGCGAGGAGCACATATTTCGCATTAGCGCATAAGCATATGCATAAGAAATTTGATTGGTTGAATTTCTTAAATAGTCTACATTGGTCCGTAGAATCGTAAATCGTAGAAAATTGATCTAATCACAGTCGATTATTCTTCTCACATGTCATGCGCATGCGCGATTAGACAAAGACAGCAGGGGCCCATATGCAGCGTTCTCTTTTTATTCCTCTATCGCATTCACTTACGGGCAAGCACACGACTCGCGTCCTCTATATACATATAATATCTCTATGATATTTATAGACCAATCAAAATTCTTATGCTTACACTTATGCGCCTATGCAAAAGTGTGCTCCCCGCTATATTCCTTCCTTTTCCTTTTTGTAAAAAAGACATGTAAAGTCGATTCTTGCATGTATTGTTGCCGCTTTTCTGTTTTGCTGATTGGTTGTTTCGATTTGCGTTGTGTGTTATATTCGTAGCATTGAACGCCTGTCAACGCAAAGGTTACTAGTTTGACAGTTGTTCAAAATAATATTAAATCTTCTTCTTAATTCTTTTTGACCTAGTCGCAAGTGCGACTTTCGGCCATTAGCGGGTTATATTTGAAAAGATATTAGGACCAGAATGAAATACAAAGGAAAAAAATTTTTCGAACGAAACACATTTGAACGCTTCAAAGGACGCCACAAACTATAATATCAAAGCATATAAAATCAATGCATATAAATCAAAGCATATAAAATCAATGGCGTGCGCAAAGCGCGCGCTTGTATTATCTAGTTTCTTTTATATTATTCTTTTATCCTTTTCTTCCTTTTTTTCTTTAAAAAGGCATGTTAAGTCGATTCTCGAATGTATCGAAAGCCTCTCGAAAATCTCGAAGTGTATTGTTGCCTCTTTTCCGTCGCTCTGATTGGTTTTTACGGTGTTACATGCTTCGTGTTATGTAAGTACTATTTGTCATTTGACATCGCGAAGGTTATATTGACAGTACAATGCAAAAATAATAAGAGAAAATAATTACGAAGAAGAATTTTTAAGAGTGCAAACTTCGAAAGATACGCGGTAAGTATAATAATACTTTTATATAAAATGTGTTTACACACTCACACATTAATATATATATATATATATATATACATCATATAACGCTATTTAAATTCTGTTATATTAATGACATAACCAAAATTTATTTATAACTTATTTACTTTTATTTAATTATATATTATATATATTATTATATTATATATTATATATTTATATTATATATATTATATATTATTTTTTATATATTTTTTTATATGTATATATATATATTACAATTTATTTATATACATATATTAATATTATTTATTTATATTATAAAATATAAATAAATTAAAAATTTTATTATCAGCTTTATTGTAATGTTCTATAATCATACAGATTAATTTAATTATCTTAATTACAGGTCAACATTCGTGAATCTTTCGGACCTTTCAACCTATCATCTTTGATATTGTAAATAAAGATTGTTTCTGAATTGATCTCTGAGAAAGTTAATAAGTGTTTCCATATATCTTCAAAATCAGGTAAAAAAGTAAAAATATTATGTATATAATAAAATATCTATTTACAAATCTTATCACTTTGACCTTAAATGGTGTTGCCAAGGTCAAGACAAAAACTCACAGTCTAACTGTCGTTCAGTTCAGAAGTCTCTTATATAAATTTATATCGGCTTTGCGATATATGTATAATAATACCTGACGCAATGTGCATGCGCCTTCCTTTTCCCTCCCCATCAGGAACTCTTCATTATATGTAAAAATGTTATAATTATGAATTATTATTTATCAGAACTAATTTAAAAAAAAATTATTTTTTTTATTGGTTCTGATGCAAAATGCACATGCGCAGACCTTCCCTTTCTCTCCTCCACAATTTGCGTTCAAGTACACGATTGTGGAAGCAAAAGGGAGATATATGTCTGCACAGTAACGTTTTTGTCACGTAAAGTTCCACTATCAATATTTTTAAACCTATAATTTTGATATATATATTATTCTTTATATCTTTCTTTATCTTTAACCTTTTTTTTGGAAAGAACGTAATGAATTTTCTATTAGACTCACTCTGTATATATGTTTCCCAGCTAGCAAAATGATACAAACTTTGCACAAAGATTGCGGCAAACTCGAGCAGGCCTTTGTAGCAAAATTGCAACAAGGTGTGTCCGCATTAAGCTGAGCTTTTGCTGGCAAGGTTTGTCACAACAGCGTGACGCAAAATTCACGTAAATAACAGAGCAAGCTTTGCCGTGCGCGTCATGATAGCAAATTTGTGGCAAGAATAGGGCAAGGTTTGATCTGGCACTATAAGACGCAAAATTCACGCAAATAACAAAGCAACCTTGCCGTGCACGATGTGATAGCAAATTTGTGGCAAGAACAGGGCAAAGTTTGCTCTGACACAATGAGACGCAAAATTCACGCAAATAACAAAGCAAACCTTGCTGTGCATGACTTTAATAGCAAATTATAGCAAGAACAAAGCAAAGGGTTGTTAACAGTGCGGATTGTAATTAATAAATAATTTAATGAATTAATGAGCTCATTAAAAAGATTTTAATTAATAGTATATTAAATTTTATATAAATAGATAAAAATAATTAAATTTTCTTTATATTTTATTATTATTATTATATTAATAAAAAATATATAGAATTTTAATTATTTTTATTTATTTATTTATATAAATTTTTAATTAATGCTATTAAACTTCCTAATGACTCATTATTTTATTATTAATTACAATCCGCACTGTTAAACCATTTTTTTGTTGTTGCCTGACAATTGCTTATATATTTGATTATATCAAATTTAATTAATACTATATATTAATCTCTCTAAATAGAGGGATAATACTTAAGCAATTTTTTTAAAGTTTCTATTATCAAAATTGTTTTATATTTATTTCCATATATTTATCTTCAAATTTTTATTTTTAAAAAATCGGATATCTATAATTTATAATCATATATATAAAGACATAAGCGTTTTATATGTATATATAGACCGCTATTTAATTAGTATATATATCACTGCTCAATCCTGAAAAACTCGATCAATCGGCGTCACGAAAGGAACTGACCGAAGCTACCTTTTCTTTCGCTATTATAATGATATTTACATATATCGTACGACGAGTTTGTCGAACGTAGCAATTGGTTAACGAATAGAGAATTTCTAAAGTTTCTATCTAATATTCAATCGTTACGTCCGAACCACCATCATTTTGTAGTATGAATGTAATATCGGCCTAGACAATTGTGCTTTGCTTCACGCGTATTTAGACGGCGGAAGATTGACACCATCTATTGCAGAATTATATAATGACCTTAAGGTGCGTACAGACTTACAACAGAACATCGTAACGTAACACCGTCGCGTAACACCGACGAAATGCATGGACAATACCCGTAACGCTTAAATGTTTGGTGCGAGGTACTGTCCATACATTGCGTCGATGTCACGCAACGGCGTTACGTTTACGATGGTTCTGTTGCAAGTCTGTACGCACCTTAATATAATCAACATAGTTAATTTAAAATCTTGAGCCTTAGAATTATTCGTAACATGTTTAGATTTTTAATCTCTTTTTCAAATATAATAATTATAGACAAATATAAATATATTATCTATATAAATATAAATATACTGTCTGTAGATATATATTTGTCTATAATTATTATATTTGAAAATAGATTAAAATTTAAACATGACAAATGACTGTAGTATCAAGATTTTAAATTAACTATATATGTTAATTATAGTGCCATTATAATTCTGCCATAAATAGCATCAATTTTCCCGCCGTCTCATACCGTAACAACGCTTATGTCTAAAGGTGGGTTTAGGATGAGCTTAACGTAACGGAACGTAACGGAACGCAACGGGACGTGAAGTGACGTGAAGTAAACTTAACGTTAAAGTATATCTGTCTAATTACGATCGCCATAACGTGCCGTTAAAAAAAACAGCGTGCATTTTGACAGCGTTATTATTCTTGTTGTCATTCTCGTTGGTAGTTTCTATCAAAATGAATTCTGCTGTGAGAAATTATCAAATTTTTAATTTAATTTCGATCGGATATTTTTACCTTCAACGGCGGAAGAGAAAACGAGTACGAACCATTGGTGTGAGAGAGATTTTTCGAAGAAGAATCCAGTTTGGTGACGGACATAATCTGTTAGAAGAACTCCGTTTTAATGATCCGCACTTTTTTTTTATTTATACAAGAATGAATGTTGAAAGGTAATGTCTATTAATAAAGAATCATAAAAGATTAATGGTTTGATCGTATAGGGTTTATTTTTTACATATTATATTTTGCTTTCTTAGATTCGAGTATCTCTTGAGTTTAATTGGTCCACTGTTAAAGAAACGAAAAATGTACACTACTCTTTTACCCTCTCAGAGACTTGCCATAACATTAAGGTTCTTGGCAGCAGGAGACAGTCAGGGTACTCTGAGCTTTTCCTATAGATGTGGCAAGAGCACTATCTCTCAGATCCTGGCTGAAACTACTCGAGCACTTGTAAGTGTTTTGAAGAATGCATTTGTAAAGCCTCCTGCAAATGAAGCGGAGTGGCGTGAGGTGGCTGCTGGATTTTGGGAAGAATGGCAGTTTCCCCATTGTGTGGGAGCCATCGATGGGAAGCACATTCAAATGCAGGCCCCACAAGCTTCTCAAAGTATTTACTTTAATTACAAGAAAACATTTAGCATAGTTCTATTGGCAGTTTGTGATGCATACTACAATTTCATCATGCTCGATGTAGGAGCAGAAGGCTCACAAAGTGATGGCGGAATTTTTCAATCGTCTGAAATGGGTCGGCGATTGAATGATGGATCTATTAATTTGCCAAATTCGAGTAACCTACCAGAAACTGATATTGATATGCCTTACTTCCTTGTAGGAGATGCAGCTTTCCCTCTGAAATCTTACCTAATGAAACCCTATGGCGAACGTAACATATCTCATGACAAGTCTGTGTATAACTTTAGGTTGAGCAGAGCAAGAAGAGTGATTGAAAATGCCTTTGGCATTTTAGCAGCTCGTTGGAGAGTTTTTCGTCGCCCTATTATTAGTAAAGAAGACAATGTGGAAAGCATTATTGAATGTACTATTTGCCTCCACAATTTCATCCTTAAGACAGGCAACAAGAAACTCAACCTGGAGTACTGCCCTCCTTCGTTTGTGGATCAAGAATTGCCAACTGGCGAATTGATAGAAGGAGAATGGCATGATGTTGTCAGTGGGGAAAATGGAGCCATCATTAATGGTCCACGGATGGGTGCAAGAAATGCTGCTCTAGGAATTTTAAAACAGAGAGATGCACTGAAGGAATTCGTGAATGGGCCTGGGGTTATGCGCCATCAAGACACTATTGTGAGGATCCGGCAAGGAATTATCCCCCCTCAAGATCTACACTTACTGCCATGAGTTTTTTTTTTAATTAAATAAATCTTAATACAAAACATGAATAAAACATTTTTATTTAAACACAGAAAGAAATAGAATTTTTATTTTTTAAACAGAAATAAATAGAATTAAACATTTTTATTTTTAAATAAACACAGAAATAAATAAAATAAAGTAATAAAATAAAAATATAAGATAATAAAATAAACGAATTATATATCTATAAATTCTGATAATTTTATATCTTCAGCCTCCTCCTCACAATCTTGGATTATAGATCTAAATTTCCTTCTATATTTAAGTCTTAACGTCATATTTGTCAAATTCTTGAGACAAGATTCAACGTTTCTGCTAATCAAGACGTCTGGATCATTAATTGAAGGTGGTGATGATAGTGGTGGAGTAGGAGCACTGGCTACAGCCATAGATTTATTTAAATTAGTAAGAGTCTCTCTGAACAATTCATCTGTTTCGTCCACCTTTGACCTCTTACGACTTGTAGGTCCCAAATAAGGCATATTAGCAGCTGATGAGCTACAGCCAGGCGAGGAGAGGGTAGAACAGGTAGAAATTATAAAGGGTGCGCTATTAATGTCCACAGCTTGCTCATTTATTATTATTTCTTCATCTGGTGAAGGTGTAGTTTTAGATACCAACGCCTTTGTTTGAAAATTGTCCACAGATCTGCAACCGGAAATAATTAAAAAAATTATCGTAATTATTCGAAAATTCGTACAACAAACCATCATATACCAAACTTACTTTCTCTTCCTAATGTGCGGTGTCAGAAATGACATAACACTATATAAGGCCCATTCTGGACGGGTTGAGGCTGCTGCTCCAGACTTCCCCTCCTGCTCAAAAATACGTTTTTCTTTCGCGAATCTCTCGCGAAGAGTATGCCACCTGGCCGTACAATCTGTCGCTGATGCTGAAATCATAACAAAAAAGATATTAAAAAACATATATAAATTAATGTAATAAATATAAATTTAAAAAAAAGATGCAATATAACCTACCATTCAATGTTTCGCCAACAATCTTCCATGCGGAGTCTTTTATGCCGGAATTTTTGAATCCGGCATGTCCCTTGTCGTATATTTCGGGATGCGCACGAACACACTCTATCAATAACGTGTCGTTAATTGACATCTTCTATTGCTATAAGCTCCGAATGAGCAACACAATGTTAAATGTCAAATTCTTAAACTCGAATGTAGCGCGCGTAAAAAAACAAAAAAAAAGTTACATTAAAATATTTTTAATGTAATTTTAAATAAAAAATTAATTAATTAATAATTGAATAATAATTATTAAGATTATAATTATAATAATTATAATTGTATAAATATAAAATAATTATTACAATAATATATTAGTAACTAATATTATATACATATTTATGATTATAATTATAATAATTATTATAACTATAATAAGAATTATAATTAATAATAATTATTTTAATAATTATAATAAATTTTTTAAAGACCGACTAGGCGAAACGCGACAAAGCTTGGCAAAGCTTGATGTCGCGTTAAGTTCTAATAATTCGTTACGTAAAGGCGATCGTAATAGCCGAATTCCGTCGCGTTCCGTTACGTTCCGTTACGTTAAGCTCATCCTAAACCCACCTTAACATTGTATCATGGTAATGTCATTACGCATATATTTTAACATGTACATCGCTACGTAATGATGGTAACATCATCGTTAAAAGTAACAGACATCGTATAATTCATTTAGTATTAATAATTGTGCATAAAATTGAAATATTATTATAATTATTATATAAATTTGATTCTTTGTGATTTATTAAAACTAAACGGTAAATATATATGAAGTTATATGAATAATTTATTTATACTAATTACAATTATATAACTTATAATTGAATATGTGCTTAAATCTATCTTATAATTAAAATATTGTATACATATATTGTATATTTCGTCTTATAGTCACTTAATTATGATATTTCAAAAAAATTTCGCTAAATATTGTTACATATATTAATTACAACTAAACATTTATATATTTGCTAATATAAACTATTACAAAAATTATTTTACAATTATTTATATTCCAATTGATTTTTGTTAAAAATATTTATATTATTTGTCTTAATAATAATATATTCTTATAAATATATATTCTTACTATATAATATTAAATTTTAGTTGCTATTTATATTTTTATTTTAAAATTGCGTGTGTACGTTACATTGAAATATTTTTATTTAAAAATTCTAGGATAAAGCTACAAAGAAAATGGATAGCGAATCAGACATTTATCGTGAGTTGTGTGATAATCCAACATATATGTTTCACCAAGAGAACTTTTCGAAGTTATGTTACCTAATGATGGTACAGTGTAAGTTTTAAAAATTTTTAATATTTAATTTTTATTCATAAATTACTTATTCTCACTATTTCAGTATTATCGTCAAATTTGTAAAATTCTGTCAGTTTAAGAATAAAACTATATAATAGTAGCATAAAATCATATAAATGTAATTGATGTATAAAAGATACATTTATTAAAATTTTATTGAACTTTTAATTATTTTTATTTTTAATAAATATAAAATATTAATTGTTTATATATATATTTTTTTTTAAGGTGTTTTATCAGTATGGTGGAACAAATCGACAGTACAATTGCTGTTAAAACTAAAAATGGTGAAGTTCAACGTTGTCGAGTAATTTTGACAAATAATAAAGACTGGAAGGTTCAAGTTACTATATGGGCAATAACATAAATCGAGTTATACATAACTTTAAAACATCATTTGTAAGTTTTTATCACAAAATTAAAATCATTTTATTACAAATGTTTACAACATAAATTAAGACATTATTTTATATATTTGTTATTACATAAAATATTAACTGTTCTTAAAAATCTTTTATAAATAATTATAAAATGTAAAAATTAACATAATTTATAAATAATCTTACAATAAAATAAATAATTAATTTTATGATGTCAATCTATAAAAAATTGAGATAAATTATTAATAAAAATTTTTTATAAAAAA